CACAGCTCACAGCAACCTCTAACTCCTGGGCTCAAGCGAGTCTCCTGCCTCAGCCTCCCAAGTAGCTGGGACTACAGGCGCCCGCCACAATGCCCGGCCATTTTTGGGTTGCAGCCATCATTGTTGTTTGGCGGGCCCAGGCTGGGGGTTCGAACCCGCCAACTTAAGTGTATGTGGCTAGCGCCTTAGCCGCTTGAGCCACAGGCACCAAGCCTGGTCACCCTATTTTAATACCATCTTACTGTACACTAATAAAAAAATCTTTCCCTTCACATTCCCAAACTTAACAATTTCTAGTCTCAACCTGTATACACTTTGCCTAAGATAATAGCTATCTAAGAGTTCAAGTACCTTAGAAGTCAAGGAGGCTTTTTTCTTCTGCTGTTTCAGTTTCTGCTGAGCCGGCTGAGGGCTAGAGGATTGGTTGTCTGAAGATCCAGGTGACATCTGTGGAGCTGAGGTGGATTTGCTTGGCAGAGGAGAAGAGGGGGGTGGAGGTGCAGCTGTGGAAGTAGCCACTGCAGGTGGCTTCTCCTGAAGGAACACCTCCATCATGGTTGAAGATGAGGTGAAAGCCTGACGCTTTGTAAAGGGGCTGTGCACGGCTGAATCACTTGGGTTCTTCAAATCTGCAAGAGGAAGCCCAAAGGCCAAAGATGCTGATTAATCTCAAGGCAACACTGTTGTCTTGCAGTACTAGCACCATGAACAAGGCCCTCAAGAACCACAGACCCAAGGTCCTCTTTTAGGACTTAATCTGATTTCTATAGGTGACCACTGTTGGATCACATCTGTTCTTAGGGAAAGCCTAAATAAATCAACACTATTACCCTGTGTGTGGAAGAGAGGAGTCTACAAACTGTCCATTTTTCAAACACAGCAAGTCTTATTTAATAATACCAATAGGTTCCTGAAACTGAGATTTCAAGTATAACAATATACAAGTCTCGAATAACATCATTTCCTTCAACATCATTTCATTATCGTGTTAAGAGGAAAAAATTGGGTTTTTTTGTATGTCATTTTGCACAGTCAGTTTCTAAGAACCTATTGCAACGTTAAGCGAGTAAGACTGTGTAGAGTCTTAAGATGACCAAGCCCATGAACCCAATGTGTTATTTTCAAATACTGAAGATAAATCTAGGTAAAAAACCTTGAGGTCAAAAAAAGAGTGTGACAGTCTGACTAAATTTCACAACAGAAATACACAGCCTCCAATTTTGTTCCTCAACTTTCAAAACTCAGCTAATCTGAATAGGAGAAATCAGTGTGGGACACTGGCCAATTGGCAGCCCCTCTCCTCATGTCAGGACACATTCTCCCCTCCCCCACCAACCTCCACAGTAATGCTCCAAACCGTAACAAATTTGAACCATTTTCCATCTCACCATACTGCACCAGTGATGGGGACTGTGTTGTCGAGCCCATGTCCCAAGAGGAGGTGGTGGTGCTTCCAGATTGAGAATGCTGAGCTGCCAGCTGAGCCAGGGCTTGCGCAGTCTTGAACTGCTCCAAGAACTGGGAGCCAGTGGTGCTGCTGCTGCCTTTAGATTCACTGACATCACCAAATCCTTTCCCTAACATGCTCACCTGCAGATCAACAAAGAGATGAGAGCCATCTACAGCCAGTGACTCTGATGAGAAAGACACTTCTCCAGACTGAGAGTGAGCATAGAGCAGACAAACAAAACATCCCCAGACTAGGTACACAGCACAGTCTGTTAAAGCACAAGATCTAGAGTTAGACAGTCCTAGATTCACACCTTAGCTATGTAATCTTGGAAAAATTAAACTTTTCATTTCTCTTTGCCTCAGTTTCTTCCTCTGAAAATAGGAATAAAAGTAGTGCCTCATGAAGTTGCATGGGGATTAAAGAAATATTAAAGCACTTAATACATGCATGGCATATATGAGAGCCATTAAAACTCAGAACTATTACCATTATTTCCACCCTCCTCCTCCTCAGGAATAAAAGCTCTGTTTCCCTTCTTTCTACATTTTAAAATCAATCAATAATTGACTATTAAATGAACACAAATGTAATATAAAAATTCACTTCAGCTATTAAGGTCCCTGACCTTTGCATTAAATAACTCGAAAGATCCATCATCACATGGAAGGGGTAAATTAAATTATTTAAACCTCAAAAGAAACAAAAACTAACTGGAGCCCCATCTTGACACCTTGAATAAGAAAGAAAGAAGAACAAAGAAATAAGAAAGTTGGGGAGGGTCTGTGGCTCAAAGGAGTAGGGCGCTGGCCCCATATGCCAGCGGTGGCGGGTTTAAACCCAGCCCCAGCCAAAAAATAAAAGAAACAAGAAAGAGAAGGTAAAGGGCCATCCCAACTTCTGCACTAGCTAATCCAGTGACAGGTCAGCATGATTTGATGGCTTCCTCACCGTCTACCACCTGTCCCAGTTATACAGGGTGATCACTGTATGATAACCCAGCAAAACTTCCTCTTCATGCTTCTAGGGAATTACCTCATCAAGTAAAACTATCCGCCTAGACAGTAGGATAAACTATGTGGCCTTGACTAGTCTTGAAAACCCGCCAAGGAGATTAAATCTAGTTTCCTTAGCTGGTTAATCACCTCCCCCTCCTCCAGCAGTGCTTTCTTATACAAAACTTGTCTGTCTGACTTCAGATAAAACTTCTCACTGCAATCCAAAGCCACAGCCCAAGATTACACAAACAAAACCCTCAAAGTCTGTGGCAAACAGATGATCTCAGGCAGCTAATGGGTATCAAATATTCAGCAAATGTAAAGCACTATTTTACAAACACAGAAAATTACCTAATATTTATTATAATATTCACAAACGTAAAGAGGAATTCCTGTTATTTCGAACTACTAAATTTTAGGGGAATTAATCCTCTAAGATTTATTCTCAATGGAAAAGAGACCACATTCAATATCACACTGACTAATATAGGTAATGATAAAACAGAATAGTATTTATATTTAATTTGACATTATCAGGTGGTACACATTAAGTGGAATGTTAAAGTGGATTATGCTGAAAACATTTTTGATATCAAAATTTTGATTTGATTATAAATCTTCATAATTTTAGACTGTGAAAGCGATTAAAAGAGACAGAACAATTAACCTAATTTTCTAGTTATGTATCTTATGGGTTGGTAATTACTTCTTGATCATCACTGCATCTTCTTCTGACCTCTGTCCTACTTCCTTTCCTCTGTTTCTGTTTAATCCCAACACTTCTCTCCATTTCCCTTCTCCCCCCAACTCCTCTGATCAATTACCTTTTTCCTAGGTGGCAGAACATTAGCCACTACTAAATTAACACACCAGAAAAACCATTTTAAGACAACAGTTAAAAACTAACAGATGGGCCAGGAGCAGAGGCTCATACCTATTACCCCAGCCCTCTGGGAGGCCTTAGGCCAGTGGATCCCTTGAGCTCAGGAGTTCCAAACCAGCCTGAGCAAGAGCCAGACCCCATCTCTAAAAACAGCCGAGTGTTGTGGTGGGCACCTGTAGTCCCAGCTACTTGGGAGGCTGAGGCAAGAGGATAGTTTATGCCCAAGAGTTTGAGGTAGCTGTGAGCTGGGATGCCACAGCATTCTACTAAGGGTAACAAAGTGAGACTTTATCTCAAAAAAAACCCCCAAAAACTGACAGACTTCAGGATCAGTGGCTAGTTCAGCCTTTTTCTAGTTAAAATAATTACTATAAATAGAAAATAAAACTATATCCACACACATGGTCTGCTTCCCCTTAAAATTTTTTCCCTCGATCAAAAAATAAACAAAAAAGAGAAAGAAGAGAAAAAAGAAAAAGGAGTTACTTCTTATGACTTAGTGACTATAAAAAAAAATCAGGTCTCGCATCATCTTTATTTAGCTTAAGTGATTACTTTGATGTAGGTTATGACCTCAGATTTTTTTAAGAGACAGAGTCTCATTTTGTCGCACTTGGTAGAGTGCTGTCGTGTCACAGCTCACAGCCATCTCCAGCTCTTGGCCTTAAGCGATTCTCTTGCCTTAGCTTCCAAAGTACCTGGGACTACAGGTGCCCACAACACTCAGCTATTTTTTTGTGCAGTTTGGCTAGGACTGGGTTCCAACCCGCCACCCTCTGCATATGGGGCTGGCACCCTACTCACTGAGCCACAGGTGGCACTCAACCTTGAATTTTTTAAATGGTCTAAGTCAACAAATCACATGTCATATGTAATTTATAATACCATTACTGATACCACATTTGTACAGTCCTGCAAAATAAAAGAGCAAGCACTCTTATCCCTATTTACAGAGAAATGAAAACATGTCTAATGAAGTGGCAGACTTGAGAAGACCATTGGTTTTTGGAAGCCTAGTCTGCAAACATCTGATTTAAGTAAACATAAGGCAATTCTGCTCCATCAAGAAATGGGGAACCAGCTCGGCGCCAGTAGCTCAAGTGGCTAAGGCGCCAGCCACATACACCTAAGGTGGCGGGTTCGAATCCAGTCCGGGCCCGCCAAACAACGACGGCTGCAACCAAAAAATAGCCAGGCATTGTGGCAGGCGCCTGTGGTCCCAGCTACTTGGGAGGCAGAGGCAGGAGACTCACTTGAGCCCAGGAGCTGGAGGTTGCTGTGAGCTGTGATGCTACAGCACTCTACCCAAGGGGATAGCTTGAGGCTCTGTCTCAAAAAAAAGAAAGAAATGGGGAACTGGGCTAGGCAAGGTGGCTCAGGGCTATAATCCTAGCACTCTAGGAGGCCAAGGCAGGAGAACTGTTTGAGCTCAGGAGTTCAACACAAGTCTGAGCAAGAGTGAGAACCCCTTTCTACTAAAAATAGAAAAATTAGTGGGCATGGTAGCAGGCACCTATCGTCCCAGCTACTTGGGAGGCTGAGGCAGAGGGATCACTTGAGTCCAGGAGTTTGAGGTTGCTGTGAGCTAGACTGAGGCTGTGCCATCCTAATCTGCACAAGAGAGACTCTGTCTCAACAACAAAAAAAAGTGACAAAATTGAAATGCTTACAATCTCTTATGAAAGGTTCATTAGCATTGCAAAATTTGTTGACAGGTTAATGCCATTTATTTTCTCCCTCTCTTCAGGTGTAATAGCAAATAGTGTACAGCACAGTAAGTATCCAAAAAATGCTGTTAACTCACTTTTATAAGATCCAGGCTTGGCACCCGTAGCTCAATGGTTAGGGCACCAGCCACATGCACAGGGCTGGTGGGTTCAAACCCGGCCCAAGCCTGCTAAATGAATAAACAAACTAACAAACAAAAATAGCCAAGCATTGTGATGGGCACCTGTAGTCTCAGCTACAAGGGAGGCTGAGGCAAAAGAATCACTTGAAGCCAAGAGTTTGAGTTTGCTGTGAGCTGTGACACCACAGCACTCTACTGAGGGTGACAACAGTAAAACTCTGTCTCAAAAAAAAAAAAGAAAATCCAGTTGGTCCAAAACCTAAGTCCTCTCCTAGAGGACATCAATCCCCTACCACTCAACTCAGCATCACTACACCCAAAGCTGCTTAAGACAAAGGAAACACCTCACGCTGCCACAAAGCTCTGCCTTTGGTAAAAGAAATGATTGTGCATGTGTGCTGGCAGGAGGATTTGACTGACTGGGATAAACCATTTTTCCTACTTACCATACTGTGATGAGAAAATGTGTTCCCCGAAGCAGGCTGTGATATGGCACTCTGCTTCGAGTTACTGAACACCAGTGGCTGGGCCAGAGAAGGAGCCTGAGATGGATCCAGATTAGATGAATCATTCTCCATTGAAGATGGTGTCTTCCCCAACAAAACAGCAAGGTCAATTCTAGTGGGGAGAGGAAGAGGGATCCTGATGGTGAAGGAATGTTCAGGCATTCCCCAACATTGAACTGAGATTATGGTTAGATCAAGATGAAGTCCCTTAGTAGTCATACTTCTAATTGGACTCAGAAACAAAAACCCTGAAATGCTTCATTTTACCAAAATAACTGACACATAAGGACTACTACAGCATCCAGAGAAATTACACTGATGTTGCCAACAATAATGGTGACTTAAAATTTTTACTTTAGTGAACTTACTAATTTTTTTTTTTTTGAGACAAAATCTCATTATGTTACCCTCGGTAGAATACCATACTGTCACAGCTTACAGCAACCTCCAACTCTTGGGCTTAAGCGATTCTCTTGCCTCAGCCTCCCAAGTAGCTACAGGCACCCACGACAATGCCCAGCTATTTTTTGTTGCAGTTGTAATTGTCATTTAGCTGGCCTGGGCCAGGTTCAAACCCGCCACCCCTGATGTACGTGGTTGGCACTATAACCATTGTGCTATGGGCGCTGAGCCTGAACTTATTAATTTAATGAAATATCAAACGTTAGTTTTAATATGAAGCTCAATAACTGGGTGAAAATTTACAACTCTTATCCATGATGTCAATACTAAATACCTGCCATTACCAATTTCTTTTAGAAAACCATACACCAGAACTCTCTAAGTGGCTTTAAAACAGAGATGGTTTTAGAGACTTTTTTCTCCCAGCTTTAAAAACCTTTAAGTTACCTGTGGGATAATACAAGTATGTATCCGGGCTCTGCTTTGTTCCTAGCACAGAGCTCCTAAAACACTTAGAACTTCCTAAGTTCCTATTACTGTTAACCCTTTGTTATCATAACAAGCTTCCTTCTTTTTTTTGAGACAGAGCCTCGAGCTGTCACCCTGGGTAGAGTACCATGGCATCATAGCTCACAGCAACCTCCAACTCCTGGCTCAAGTGATTCTCTTGCCTCAACCTCCCAAGTAGCTGGGACTACAAGCGCCCACCACACCACCCGGCTATTCTTTGGTTGCAGTCGTCATTGTTGTTTGGCAGGTCCAGGCTGGATTCGAACCCGCCAGCTCAGGTGTACATGGCTAGAGCCTTAGCTGTTGAGTCACAGGCGCTGAGCCAACAAGCTTCCTTCAACCACATCAGAATTTATGCTATTGTGATCCAGGATAGGGTGCCTAGAAGCTTCAGGATGGGGGCTGGCCACAGGGAACTTTCAGCCCCTTCCAACCCCACCCAACTCCAGGGGAAGTAAATTAGCTATTAAGTTCAATGGCCAAAGACTTAACCAGTCATGCCTAGTTAATGAAACTTTGATTCAAAAACCTCAAACAACTGCTTGGCCTCTGTAGCTCAGTGAGTAGGGTGCCGGCTAGCGGGTACAAGCCAGGCCCAGGCCTGCTAAACAATGACAGCTGCAACCAAAAAAACAGTCGGGCAGGCTCGGCTCCCATAGCTCAACTGGCTAAGGCGCCAGCCATGTACACCTAAGGTGGTGGGTTCGAATCCCCAGCCCAGACCCGCCAAACAACAATGACGGCTGCAACCAAAAAATGGCCGGGCGTTGTGGCGGGCGCCTGTGGTCCCAGCTACTTGGGAGGCAGAGGCAAGAGACTCGCTTGAGCCCAGGAGTTGGAGGTTGCTGTGAGCTGTAATGCAACGGCACTCTACCCAGGGGGACAGCTTGAGGCTCTGTCTCAAAAAAAAAAAAAAAACAGTCGGGCCTTGTGGCGGGAGCCTGTAGTCCCAGCTACCCAGGAGGCTGAGGTAAGAGAATCGCTTAAGCCCAAGAGTTTGAGGTTGCTGTGAGCTATGATGCTACGGCACTCTACTGAGTGTAACATGAGACTCTCAAAAAAAAAAAAAAAAAAAAAAAACCAAAAACCTCAAACATGAAATCTGGAAAGCTTCAGCATATCTGGAGGGAACATGTAACTCTCTGTGCCCACCCACCCGTCCATACCTTTTCCTATGCATTTCTTCCATTTGGCTATTCTTAACTTGTACCTTTACAATGATCCAGTAACACTAAGCAAAACTCTTGATTTCTGAGTCATTGTAGTAAATTACCAAACAAGGGGGTCGTGGGAACCTCTGAATCTGTAGTTGGCTGGCAGACCCCTGAAGTAGTGCAGTTTTATGAAACTGAGCTGTCAACTTGTGGGGTCTGTGCTAACTCTGGGTAGTGTCAGAAATGAACTGCTGAAGACCTAGTTGGTATTAGAGGATTGCAGAACTGATGTGAAAAAACATATTGGTGTCAAAAAAAAAAAAACCCACTCATTACCACTGATGACATCCTTAATGTTCTACTCCTAGCCCACACTTTCTTTAGGGCCTTCTGAGTCAAAAGCTATCAAGCCAGGTCTAGAAATAATCCAAAAGTTCTCAGGGGATTAAAAAATACCTGAACAGAATATATCCTATCACTGACCCCTAGAAGTTCAAGTTCTGAAGTTCATCAGCTGGATCCTGCTAACCCCAAGGGGAAAAAATGATCACTATATTCGGTGGATTAGCAGACGAGGACCATTATTATAAAGTGAGAGAAGCAGCCAGTGAGCAGTTCTGCAGAATCCAGACACAAATGAAAACATTTTTCACTTTCAGCTACTCTTTCCCTTACTTCAAAATAAGTTATATAGTCAATGATGGTGAAGTGACAAGCTAATCTGCATTAACTCAAGTGCTATTTGGGGGCAGAATCAACTTTAAAATTCTAACATATGGACCTCCTTCTATTCAGTAGATTACTTCTCAATTGATTGAAACAAGAACCTAATGTTACTTTGTTATTATTATTACCAACATCACAGGAGTTTGTGAAGGCCAGTGCCAATCTTCCTTATAGTTATCTTAACAAATCTTTATGCAAAAAGGTACTAATTTTTGCCACACACTTGCCTCTGGCCAGCAGTGATTGTCACATTCTCGGTAGGCAGAGGCACTGAAGACACATTAGAGGCAGTGAAGATCTTGGTCTCAGAAAGCTGGAAAACAGAGAGAATAGTCACTCCTGGTGTCAGGAAACTGCAGTCGGGAACTCGGCATTAGGTAATGGGAATTCAACATCAAATAAAAGAAAAAAAAGCCTACAAAGATAAAACTACCCCCAAGGAATCCCAAGTGGATTGACCTTCAAGCACCTTGAATACATGCTTAGTGGTTGTATCTAAAGAAAAGTAGAACCCAGGAACACAAAATAATTGTGAAGTCCCATTGTCATATGTACAACGACCTTTCAGAGAGGGTAATATACATGCTAGACGTAAAAAGAGAAAGATCCCTATTTTCCCATTATAGTTCCCAACTCCCACCTCTACCCAAATCACCTTTACCTTCCACTACTCCCTCTTGAACCCCCTCAAAAAAGAAGATCATAGCCAAGATGAAGAAAGAAAAGTTAATATTTGGCTTTTGAACAGTAAGGGACCAAGTACTAAAGAGTTATGGTCTTTTGAGAAATAATTTTAACCACATACAATTTTTGCCTTAATACTGATTTTATTATACCTAGTCTTTCCATTCATTATTAAGGTAACAAAATTAGGCAAACAATTGTAAGGAATAGCTTTTCCTACTATTCAAAAATTGATCCGGGCTTTTTGTTTTACTTCTTAACTAAATCTCTCTAAAAAACAGGGAAACCAAACCCTCCCCAATATATCATTCTCTAAAGTTGCCTAAGCAACTCTGCTTTGACAAGCCAAATATCAGAAACTAGCAGAATTTGCGCATATTCACAAGGCAGGCTAGCTCAGTTACAATAGAAAATAATTGAGCCTCTGATGCTGGCACATCTAAAATTTTAAAAACCAGGGACCGGCAACCAATTTTGACATGTCAATTCCTCTTACCACAAAAGCTGTCTTGCCTAACTACATGTAAGTATGGGAAAGTACATCTTGCAATGTTAAGGGTTTATCCATGATCACTGAAAACTAATTCACAGCAAAAGTTTGACTGTGACCAGGAATCAACAAAATTCTCTTATTCAGGTAATACTCAAGTGAATTCACAGAGCTCATTTATACACCACCCATCTATGAGGTTTCCAAGTTGAGTCAAGCTCACAGATAGCCAAGGCTACACATACTCATCTCAATTACACCTTCGAAGATGCGCTTCGAGTAAACCCAAGGGTTCCAGAGCCAACCTCACTGTAACTTTGAGGATCTGGTACCATGATGCTCACTTTTCCAACCAATTATAGGATCTTATACCAAATACTTAAGCACAAACCAAATAATGGAATGGCTCCCAATAGTCATGTGTCACCAGCAGCTGTAACTGAAGCACTACCTGCCTAGCTCCATTTCTGTGCCCTACCCAACCACCATCTCTTCCTGGGATAAATCCGACAATCAGATATTGGACTTACACAAGTTCACTTGCCCTTTCCATAGAGTGGTTCCACAGAGTCCTGTTCATGCCCAGTCTCCTTCATATAACATATGTGAAATGTTCTGGCTCAGAACACTATTTTGGATGTAAAAGTTTTGGGTCAGAATCTTAAGGGTGAATTTTGAGGGGTAGAAACATACCCACTTTCTATCCCTAAACACCACTTAGGGATAGAAGGCACTAGTGAAGAGTGATCTGGGAATACCTACATCTTCATTCCAGTCTTCAGTCCCCCACTCCTCTGTTGTGGTCCTCCATGCACCTGGGAAGAAAAGAAAAATAGTGAAGTAATTTTAAATGCCAATACAAAGCATGTGTAGATAATAGTAGGGTGGCCCTGGCCAAAAAAAAAAAAAAAAAAACAGTAAGGTGTTAACATTTTTGGCAGCCAAAAATATGATATGACCAGTATTTAGTAATCAGAAATAATTCTTGGGCTTCAGTGATAGGGAAAGACTCTTATTTTATAAAAAACCCTCAGAGTACCAGGGTCTTAATAAGATTTCAAAGCTACTTTCAGTTGTTATAGTGGAGTCAGGGGAGACCAGACACTAACCCAATGCTCCAGGCAGTATCCTTAAGGTCCTCTTCCCTCTGATTTAGTAATCAATTCCGTGAAATGGCAGCAGCCACTTTAAGCCAGAATATAGAAGCTATACTTATTGATGTTATAGTAACACAAAAAAGACTGCAGGCAGGCAGAAGGGAGATGGTAGAAGTTACAGAAACACAAATGGCTGCAACATGATGGTGAAAGGGCAGTGAAGGGGCATTTGAAATCCAAACTGAGAGTAATGAGAACTATTTGCTATCAGAACAGAATTAAAAATGCATACTCAGCAGAAGTCAAGTTTATAGATCTTATTGGTTTAATTAGGTAACTGTAAGGAAAGCCCCTCTATACCTATGGTTTATGGATATCAATGGATAAGACTGAAAAATCACATTATGAATGACAGTTATTGCTGTACTCCTGTTCATAAAGAACAAGAAATTTGACTCTCTCAGGGTATGTACCCTCCTCATGCTGCTAATATCGAAATTAGGATAAAGCTTCTAATGGGAGAGGTCCATAGAAATCAAATCCCTTCATTTGCCACATGTATTATCATAAAGGATAAATGCCCTTTCTTAAGGAATTTTGGTGAAAATTTCTGTAAGAACAAGGATTCTTCCCTTCAACCAAAGAACACAGTAAGAAATAAGAATTCATCTAATAGAAAGGATAAGACCCCTTATTTTCTTCTCTGAAACAATAGTCAATATTCAATAACTTTTGAAGCCCTCTGTCCAAATGGAAAAAGCTCTTAAGAACAAAAGAAAGTATAACACTCAGACATTTCATGGTCACTGAAGAGAAATATTCTAACACCAAACCCACCTGAAATTCTTCTAAACTAACAATGGAAAACCTTATTTCTTACAGGAAAACAGGAAAAGGTTAAAACTACACCAGAGAAATCCCAAACCACTTAACAATGACAATGGTCTCAAAATCCAATCTCAATATAGACAGGTTTTTACAAAGCACAGTCTTCTCTCCCTCTCTGTTGACACCACATTTTCTTTTTTTTTTTTTTTTTGAGACAGAGCCTCAAGCTGTCCCCCTGGGTAGAGTGCCATGGCATCACGCTCACAGCAACCTCCAACTCCTGGGCTCAAGCGAGTCTCCTGCCTCCGCCTCCCAAGTAGCTGGGACCACAGGCGCCCGCCACAATGCCCAGCTATTTTTTGGTTGCAGCCGTCATTGTTGTTTGGCAGGTCCGGGCTGGGGATTCGAACCCTCCACCTTAGGTGTACGTGGCTGGCGCCTTAGCCGGTTGAGCTATAGGCGCCGAGCCGACACCACATTTTCTTCTTAAAGAAGAATGATCCAAGATAACCCAAGATGAGTTAGCACTTATGTACAACCCTAGACTTAGAAATGATGTGAAACATTATCTAATCTAGGCTCTCAGCACAAGAATTATTTTTTTGCAGTCTGGTGACTTCAAACTGAGATGGAAAAGAAAAAAGTAGATACTTATTTGGTATGTTACCATAAGCATGTATGGTCATGGGCTAAGAAGACAGCTATGGTGAGGAAACATTAAAGAATAGTTAAGATGGAAATGCTCTGAACACATTAGGGTTTCTATCTCATTAGCAGAAAGCAGTCAATGTAACATCAACATTCATTAAACTAAACTTATAAGAGAAAAAGTGGACATATGAAATGAGAACAAAAGAGAAAAAACAGAGAGAAAAATGACATATCCACAAATATTTTGGTTTATGAAAATCTACGAAACAATCCAGGGCAGTTAGGCTCCTGGACCTATCATACCAGGAGCAGTCTCAACTTTTCAGGGATAATTTGATTCCTAAACCCCAATGAAATCAAGTCCTAAAACAAAAAAGGACAACCAATGAAATTTTGTTTATGAACGTCAACCCCCAATATCACTATACCTGTAGATATTTTAAGAGTAGGTTTGGATTCATTTTTAAATTAAAGGGGGAATAAGAAGTTTACTATCATGAAAATACAAAATGAGATTATGCATGAAATTATGTTCCTCCATGAAATTAACAAGGGAAAAAAGAGGCCAGGCATGGTGACTCATGCCTGTAATCCCAGCACTTGCAAGGCGAAGGCATGTGGATTCCCTGAGCTCACAGCTTCAAGACCAGCCTGAGGCAGAGCGAGACCTCATCTCTAAAATATAGCCAGGGCATTGTAGTGGACACATAGTCCCAGCTATATGGGAGGGTGAGGCAAGAGAATCGCTTAGCCTAAGAGTTTGAGGTTGCTGTGAGCTCTGACACCTTGGCACCAAGGGTGAGAAAGTGAGACTCTGTCTCCAAAAAAAGAAAAAGAAAAGGCAATGGAAAAGCTATACCCAAATTTCAAACTAACAAGCTGACAGAAACATGACACATGTTCAGCCACAAATCATATTTCTGATTTCAACCTTCCACATCTCCCTTTTCTAAACTTTATTCTTCCCTGTTTTTCCAACTAGATCCTTATTAGAAACAGCTAAGGCTAAGGATTGGGACTCCATGACTGACTTCCTATTACAAACTAAAAACAAATCCCTTAACTTGCACCATCTTTTCCAGTGGCAAAAATAAAAATAAACTACAGCTCAAAACAGTTAACTATTTGTTTTTGTTTTCTTTTTTTTGAGACAGAGCCTCAAGCTGTCCTCCTGGGTAGATTGCCGTGGCCTCACAGCTCACAGCAACCTCCAACTCCTGGGCTCAAGGGAGTCTCCTGCCTCAGCCTCCCAAGCAGCTGGGACCACAGGCGCCCACCACAACGCCCAGCCATTTTTTGGTTGCAGCCATCATTCTTGTTTGGTGGGCCCAGGCTGGATTCGAACACACCACCTGAGGTGTATGTGGCTGGCGCCCTAGCCACTTGAACCATAGGCACAAGCCCAGTAACTCATTTGTTATCAAGACTGCCAGCACTGCCCCTATAAAGCCTTTAAGAGCCCAATGCCTCCCATAGTATAGTAAGTTAAAAGACAACAGGACATTTCAGTCAAATGACAGGGAAATTAAACAAGATACCTGCCTTGTCAATAACCCAACTTTAGCTCCCACTCATAGGATATATGAAAAATAGGCCTAGTACCATGGTTCACACCTGTAATCCCAGCACCCTGGGAAGCTGAGGCAGTGGACTGCTTGAGCTCAGAAGTTCAAGACCAAACTGAGCAAGAGCAAGACCCTGTCTCTACTAAAAATAGAAAAATTAGCTGGGCACAGTGGCCAGTGCCTATAGTACTGCTACTAGGGAAGCTGACACATGACTATCACTTGAGCTCAAGAGTTTGAGGTTACTGTGAGCTACGATCATGCCACAGCACTCAACCCCAGGGCGACAAGAGTGAGACTCTGTCTCAAAAAATTAAAATCCAAAAATAAACTGGAATGAGTTTATAGTCCTAGCCTTGGCAGTACATACACTAAAATACAGAGATTAGCATAGCCCCTATGCAAGGGTGACATACAAATTCATGAAGTAGTCCACATTTTAAAATCTGTTAAAAATAAAAATCAGTTGGATTGTGTATGAAAACACCACACTGTACCCCCAAAGTGCATCAATGTACACAGTTACCATTCAATAAAATAAAATAAAATAAAATAAAAATCAGTGTTTCAGATAGCAGCTTAGTTAGTAAAAAGCAGACAACATTCAGAACCTAAGATATAACATCTTGTAGAAAGTAGATAAAACACTATTGGTGCCAAAGACCCTCCCAAAGATCCAGAGATTAAGATCACTGAAACTGGACAAGGCAAATTAAAATGGATAAAGGGTCAAAGAGTCTATTTCAGGCCATACTCATCCCCCTTTTATAAAGCCTCAAATCTCTCACGTGGCTAGCTCAGCCAGCAAGAGGAAGGTGATCTTGTAAGCAGAAAGCACTCTAAAACTCAGAGGCTGCTCTTATTAAAAGCAGCACACTTATTTTTACCCCTGAACACATCTTAGTTTATCCTTCAGCCTAACACAGCCTGAAATATTCATATCCTAACCCTAATGCAGGAACCAAAATCAGCTAACAGAAAAGTAATCTTATTCAAATCCCATTAATACTCCACCACACCAAGAAGGCTATTCAACATAACATCAGAAAGGGTAGAGGATTTCCATCTTGCTCAGATACTGAGATTTCCCAAAAAAAAAAAAAAAAAAAAGATATTCCTATCTTGGTGCTAGAAAATAAATATGCACATACATGAATGGTGTGGACTTTGGGTGCTGTTCATTAGTAAGTTAATTAATCAACACATTACTTCTGGATATCTCTTCCAAAGACAATGCTACTCTAGTATGTGGAGCTAAAGGCAGGGACACGGTATAACTGAAAGAACACTGTCGACCAATTCAGAGTTCAAATGTCAACAATTCAAAACTCTCTTTCAGTCTTAGTTTTGTCATCTGGAAAGTGATAATAAATAATACCCATTTCATAAAATAGTCATGTGGAAACAGCATGTGTAATGAGCCCATAGAAAACAGCATACATAGTAATTCGATTGCCATTCTTTCTCATTCCTATCTCTGCAACCAACAAACACTACAGATCCACTTTTTTTATGTAACTATAAACTCAAAGAAATTATTTCCTTAGATTCTCAGACACAGAAATGAATAATAAATGATCACTCACTCGTCCCATCATCTGGTTCAAAGTGGCCAGTGTTGTTCCACGTATTGCCGCTACTATTGCCATAGTTATCATCAGTATTGGCTGGTTCTGCATAATCAGCTGGGTTAAAGGTTCTGAAAAAAATAAAGCTTAAAAGAGTCTCTCATCTCTAACCAGCTTCAGTGACCATTAACTCAAAGAGGGAATTCAAAATCACTACTGTCTCTTTCCTAATACACATCAATCAGGATCCCATTCCATAATCTTACATGTTATTTACTTTCTCTCACTTTATCAGCCTAACCCAGAATTTCATGGTATAATCTCAACTTAAATGAAGAATATTTTGAGAAAATAGCAGGAACATACTATTCCTGATAGGGATAATGATCCAAGAGGCAAATGCTTATCCCTAAGAAATGAGCCCTAAGTGCACACATCTTTTTTTAACACAAGATGAGAATGCAAGCAGAGTTTCCCCCTCCACAAATTACACAGTTCTCTTTTTGTGAGACAGTCTCACTTTACTGCCCCTGGTAGATTGCTGTGGTGTCATAGCTCACAGCAACCTCAAACTCTCAGGCTTAAGTGACTTTCTTGCCTCAACCTCCCAAGTAGCTGGGACTACAGGCACCCACCACAACACCCAGCTATTTTTAGAGAAAGGATCTCGCTGAGCTCAGACAATCCACCGGCCTCAGCCTCCCAGAGTGCTAGGATTACAGGTGTGAGCCACCTTGTGTGCCCAAATTACACAGTTCAATTCCCCACATTTGGGGAAATCACACGAGTCAGCACATCCAGAGTGGGATGGATAGGCTTTGCCCTGGGAAAACCACCTTCATAACCATGGCATCTCCCTTGCCAGGTTAAATATGCATACATTTTTTTGATTAAATACTCAGAATCACATTTTAGTTAAGGTTGCCTGTTGTGATTTTTTTTTTTTTGACATAAAGTCTCACTTTGTCACCCCCTACTGAATGCCCTAGCTTCATAGCTCACAGCACCCTCAAACTCTTGGGCTCCAGTGATCCTCTTGCCTCCACTTTGAGTAGGTGGAACTACAGGTGCCTGCCACAACACTCAGCAATTTTTAGAGACAGGGTCTTGCTCCAGTTCAGCGTGGTCTCAAACCCCTGAGCTCAGGCAATCCACCCACCTCAGCTTCCCAGAGTGCTACAATTGTAGGCCTGAGCCACCAAGCCCACCTGTGATTTTTTTTTCTTTTTTTTTTGATAAGAGTCTCAAGCTGTCACCCTGGGTAGAGTGCCATGGCGTCACAGCTCATAGCAATCTCAAACTCTTGGGCTTAAGCAATTCTCTTGCCTCAGCCTCCCAAGTAGCTGCAACTACAGGCATGCACCACAAGGCCCAGCTATTTTTTTTTTCTTTTTTGGTTGTAATTGTCACTGTTATTTGGCAGGCCCGGGCTGATTTGAACCCGTCAGCTCCGATGTATGTGGCTGGCACCCTAGCCACTGAGCTACAGGCACTGAGCCGAGCCCTTTTTTTTTTTTTTTTAATGAGACAGAGTTTCACTTTGTCACCCTCAGTAGAGCGCTGTGACAGCTCACAGCAACTTCAAACTATTGAGCTTAAGTGATTCTCTTGCCTCAGCCTCCAAAGTAGCTAGGACTATAGAAGCCCACAACCACTGGCTATTTTTTAGAGAGAGGTCTCTCAAACTCATAAGCTCAGTCACCAGGCTTGGCCTCCCAAGTGCTAGGATTATAGGCACTTGGAGTCACTGCACCCAGCACCTGTGATTCTTAAAAGACACTAGATCAATGAAACATACCCCATTCCTTGAGCAGAAAACCTTCCTCCTCGCCTGCTAGAGCCACCTAAAGAAGAGAAAAAGAGCAGAAAAGAGAAATACTTTTGAAGCTAATATAAAACCATCTTGTCAGTAGACATAGCTCTATTAAATTGCTGATATCATCATGTCTTTTTCTTTTAGTCCCATGTGACACTTAAGTTAATAGAGCTAGACAATCACTACTGTTGACAGACTGCTTGCTGCTCAAACTGCCCAGTCCCCATTTGCAAACACAGGAACATCAGCAATAGACTAGAGAAATGACACCCACCTTCTTTCCCTCCTCTCTACTTCAGCAATCTCTAGTATATATATATAATACCTCAACAATTAAGATAACCAGAATCCATGTTAATTTGGTTTTAAATACAGAAGACCTCTAATGAACTAAAGAGTAACCTACTCCCAATATCCATTCCCCTACAAACCAATCACCTCTGCCTCGGCCACGGCCCCTTCTGCCTCTTTCTGTGCCTCTTCCAGAAGGCCCTCCACTCTTGGTACCATCCAATCCATTTTCCTGACCTCGAACTAAAATAAAAGTAAGAATTAAAAAAACAAAAAAGATGACCAGAACAGGGTTAACAGAATATATGTAAATATATAAACATAAATAAATGGTTTGTGATATGGTGTTGGGGATACAAAAAACAAGAGAGCTGAAATCAAGTAACTTTACAAACTACAGGGCAATTGTAAGTCAGACTGGTGGCTACTGCTAGAAAACACTACAGGAAAAAGATGCCAAGGTCTCAAAACAGATGAGAGTGGAAAAAGCATAAAAGTGTTTTAACATTTTCTGGGGACCCTGACACATCCCTGGAATCTAAACATTACTGACCCACAGCTGGTTTTGATAAAGCCCCATGCATACACTCTCGTCCACGGCTGGCACCTCTCCCTCGTCTTGGTGGCCCGCCACGTCGCCGACTATAGTCTCTGTCCCGGTCTCGATTTTCTTTGCCTTCTTCATTGGATTCTGTCTGGCCACCATCCTTCTGTCCTGAGACTCCCTTCTTCTTCCCAACCATCTCCCAGGAATGCTAAAGGAAAGTAGAGCATTTATGTCTAGTCAGTATGGACTGCTATCAGTATACCAAAGATGATAGATATGACAAGTGACTGATTTAGTCATTCTCTTCTCAGCATCCATGTCTAATATACTTCTCTGTTTAAACAGAATGTACAGACCAAATATCCAAACAAATTTTACACCAAGTTATCGGTCCCTAAGTGTTGTTTCTTGGGCTAAAAACACTAATTCCCTTTGGATTGAATGACCCTCAACTTTTCACACTCTTATTCATACCAAATAAAGCAAACAAGGAAAAGTTTCTGAAAGTAACCCACGACCTGAGAATGAATGAACAGCTGAATGAGCTCTTGGGCAGGTTCTCTGAAGAGGAGAAAAACAACTAAACCAAAAATCAACCTACCAAGCTACACATACACACACAAAGAGCAATTTCACTGAAAAGACAACCTAATAGCAATCACAGGTCTAGCCCTCAGATATACTGATTACAGAAAGCCTTCCTTCCAGGCTTCACCTCCTGTATTCTCCCTATACTTTAACCAACATAATCCAATTTAACTTTCCCCAAAGCAGAATACGTTATCTATGATACACTCCAAAATCCAAGAGAGAAAATGTGTAAGGAAAACAAGATAAACACCCATGCAAAACACTCATTAGGAAAATAAGCTTTACGACTTTAAAGTTTTGAAAACACAGTTTATACCTATTTTTGCAAAAATCTACACAAACCAAAGTTCCAGGACAAACACCAAGACTACTAGATCTTTACTATCTTACCATCTTATCAAACAACCAGGGACCTGATGCTTAGTAACAGCTATGTAATATCTAGTATCTAATCTAATCACTTTCAAGAATATAGGTTGGGAGGCTGGGTGCAGTGGTTCATGCCTATAATCCAAGCACATGGAAATCCCAGCCCAGGCAAACGGACTGCCTGAGCGCACAGGTTCAAAACCAGCCTGAGCCAGAGCAAGACCTTGTCTTTAAAAATAGCCAGGCACTGTGGCAGGCACCTGTAATCCCAGCTACTTGGGAGGCTGAAGCAAGAGAATCGTTTGAGGTTGCTATGAGCTGTGACGCCAACGTACTCTACCAAGGGCAACAAAGTGAGACTGTCTCAAAAACAAAAAAGAGGCTCGGCGCCTGTGGCTCAAGTGGCTAGGGCGCCAGCCACATACACCTAAGGTGGCAGGTTCGAATCTAGCCTAGGTCCACCAAACAACAATGACAGCTGCAACCAAAAAAAAAAATAGCCGGGCATTGTGGTGGGCACCTGTGGTCCCAGCTACTTGGGAGGCTGAGGTAGGAGACTCACTTGAGCCCAGGAGTTGGAGATTGCTGTGAGCTGTGATGCCACAGCACTCTACCCAGGGGGACAGTTTGAGGCTCTGTCTCAAAAAAAAAAAAAAAAGAATATAGGCTGGGTATTAGAGAATATAAAATTATTAATTTTCTCAAGATTTACAATAGCATCATGGTTATGTAAGAGTGTCTTCCTTTAAGCGAAATATGTTGAAGAATTTGGAGTATAAATTATGATGTCTACAACTAACTTCCAGATAATTCCAAGTGTTCTAGATGGAAGAATGAATAAAAAAAAGATAGTACACACATATGATGGAAGAGGAATGAAATTCTGACCCAGGCCATAATATGGATGAACCTTGATAATAATATGCTAAGTGAAATATATCAGAGACAAAAAATACTGTATGATTCCTCTCATGTGAATTACTTAAAATAGGCAAATTCATAGGTTACTAAGAGCTGAGGAGAAGGAGGAATGAGGAATTACTGTTCAATGGATACACAATTCTTGTTTGGGATGATGAACAAGTTCTAGAAAGAGTGGTGACAGTTGCATTCATTGTGAATGTACTTAATACCACTAAACTACACTTTTGGTTATAATAGTTGAAAATGGTAAATCTTAAGACAATAGTTTTTAGGTTCAAAAAAAAACTAAATTTAAAATTATAATAAAAACAGTTTGCTACAGTGGCTCACACCTATAATCCTAACATTCTGATAGGCCAAGGCAGGAGGACTGACTGAGCTCAGGAGATCAAGACCAACGCGACCAAGAATGAGATCCAATCTCTAGCAAAAAATTGAAAAAAACAGCACCTGTGATGGTGCACCTATGGTCCCAGCTACTCAGGAGGCTGAGGCAGGAAGATCACACTTGAGGATCACGAGTCTGAGGTTGCACTGAATTATGATGACACCACCGTACTCTAGCCTGGGTGACAGAGCAAGACTCTATCTCAAAATACATAAAACAATAATCACATCTACATTCTAAATAGTCCATTGTAGTTTACTAATTTTCTTTAAAGATTCAGTACCCCAAGGACTCAGCATTTCCTTGCTGCCAATCTTTCCAACCCCACCTCATTCCACATTACAGTCGGTGGTCACTGTGTGCTCACAGTAGCTTCAATTCATAAGTTACAATAACCCCACAGTTAACTCAGCACCAGCAACTCCATAAACACTAGACTCAAAACTCTTAGCTTTCAGAATTTATGCCAGTGTATCTCAAAAACCAGGCAAGTGGCTCGGCGCCTATAGCTCAACCGGCTAAGACGCCAGCCACATACACCTAAGGTGGCGGGTTCGAATCCCCAGCCCGGACCCGCCAAA